CTGAAGTCAAGGTAGACAACATCCACGGCTCTCCCCTTGTCCAGCCAGCCTGTCACCCCATCATAGAAGGCTATGAGGTTCGTCAGACATGACTTCCCCTTGGTGMATCCATKSTRACTGCTCCTCAGCAGCTTCTTCTCCTCCATATGCCTGGAGATTCTCTCTAGGATGAACTGCTCCATCACCTTTCCAGGGACAGAGGTGAGGCTGACCGGCCTGTACTTGCCCGGCTCCTCCCTCTTGCCCTTTTTGAAGACTGGAGTGACGTTGGCTCTCTTCCAGTCCTCGGGCACCTCCCCTGYTCTCCAGGRCYTCTCAARGATGATGGAGAGAGGCTGAGCAATAACCTCGGCCAGTTCCCTCAGCACTCTCGGGTGCATACACAACAAATTCCAATACTTTTTTTCCTGCTTTATGATTTTAATAATTTACAAACATTAATAATTTAAATGAAGATAGTGGTTGCCTGATTTTCTTTTTTAAATGTATCTTCAGATTTAGGTATATGTACAGTGCATGGTTATTGAAATTGTGTAGTTCAGTTTGAATGGATGGATGATGGGTTTGCCTAGAGGGGAGGGTTTAAATTAAAAGGGAAAACTTAAAAAGACTGATGATTTCAGCTTTTCAACTGATTTTTGCTATTAGAAAGCTGAGGACTTTCAGTACAGGAAAAAGGGATATATCCTTTAAAGGTCCCTATTTCACGTTATGTCTTTGCTTAGTTTTCACGGAATGAATTCCGTTTCTCTGATTGTATCCCAGACTTTTAATGCAATTGAAAAGTGTTATTTCTGCAGTCCTTTTCATAACCTCATTACATTGATTTATCTGTAAATATGCCTGAGTCATATTTCTGTACTAAAAGGCCAAGTTCCTATCCAGTTTCTTTTTTTTTCTTTTTTAAGAAAGTAGTAATTATTCAGTGCTCTAAACTATCAAATGACTAATATAATAATAAACATTCAAAATATTGTAGATGTCTGGCGCGTATAAAACTGGGTGCTGTGAACATCTATGAGGCACTCCATGTAATTTGGTCATCACACTTTTGCATTATTTTAAGAGTTTTGCTGTTCAAAATATTGATGCTGAAAGCAACTGCATCCCAGACTGTGATGCAAATGCTTCTTCATGTTTTGAAGAAACAGCAAGAGCCTTTGCAGCTGTTCTTTTCTGGAAAACAAACATGCTGTCTAGCAGCAAAGCACACACCTTCAGTTCTGGAATAAACAAACACACATTGCTCAGACAAGTTAAAACGTTGTTTATGGTAGAAGAATCTAACAAGAAATAGTAAAAGAATTTCTGCTACACTGTTACAATGCAAAGCTTGCCTCTTGTGACTCATGTTACGGCACTGGGTGCCATGATTAATTGCAAACTTATACTATTTTACCATTAACCACCTTTTTTCAGTGGATTTTTTGTAAAATTCATATGCTTAGAATAGTTTTGGAAACTGTGAAATTATGAGAAGTAGCACATAATCCAAAACATCTATTGCAGAGAAAATACCCCTTTTATAACTTTAATTTGCTCCCTGTTATTGGAGTAGGAAAGCAGATAAACTTTTCTGTCACCATACTTTTAACTACTGTTTATCCTACTCTGTGTTTTGCTTGCTCTGTAAATAAGAGAAAAAGAGCTCATGAAAGTTACACCTGTTGTTTTTCCTTTTGCAGATGGCACTGAAGAAGTGTGGGGATTTCCCATGTGTCAGTACTTGAAGGATGAGGGCTGGTGCTGTGGTCGCAATGCTAGAATGTCAGCGTGCTTGGTATGATTCCCCTTTTTTCTATTCAGAGCTTTATCTAGACATTACAAAATTCACTGTTTTTAACATCTGATTAAGCTGTGATTAAATCCAAGAATCTACAGAATAATATCATTAATATGATAAATTACAACTAATAAAAATAGTATTGACTTTCCAGCATTATATATTTTAAAGCTGCTGAAGGCATGAGAAAATGACAAAATGTATTTTAAAAGTGGACAAAACTGATAGGAGCCAACCTCTTAGCGGGGCCAGTTCCTGGCCCGAGGACACGGAAAGAACTAGGTAATTGTTGAAGGATTGCACCAGTGACTTCCCCTAAAACTGAGATTTGTAGTGTTGAATATTTTGACTGTTGGATACCAAAACAAAATTGAGAAAAAGAAAATAGAGGAATGCTAAAAGTTGCATAGCTTAAGAACCTAGAACATCTTTTTAACATTGCATCAAGAGATGGAATGCTCTTGAAGACCTGACCTCATTCAAGGCAAGATGATGAACTGATGTTTGATTTGAAAGAACAGATACATATCAAAAAATATAACTGTTGTTTAGATTGGAAGAACAAGACCTCTTTCCTCTATGTATTTATATTTTCTAGTATCAAGATGAATCACAACAGGTTCTGTCTAGCCTCAGCTGCAAGCTCTCTACTTCCTTTATACTTCCAACTTGTATAGGCTAAAGATACAGCATAGACTAAAGTGTCAAAGTTATATAAACTTCAGCTTGCATCATAATTGAATGGTGTCAGAAAAAAAAGTATTTCAGGACAGTTACTTAGTATTTTGTAAGAGGTAAGTGCGTTTCCCTGAACAAGGTACAAGAAAAGAAATGGTTTCATCAGAAAAAAATATATATATTCTAAAATAGACTTGCCTTTTTTCTTTTCTTGTTAAAAGCCAGTTCTAAAAGCTCACCACACCTTGGTTATTTCCTTTTTCATTCTTTTCCTTTTTGAAAGGACAAGCACAGACTCATTCAACAAAGGTAGAGAGAAATTTTACGAATAAACGACCACCAGTAGATGGTACAGATCGTATCTTATATATCTATTTCAGATTTCTCAGAAATCATAGAAATTTCACATTTAAATATACTATTCTTAATCTTAAAAAAAATACATATCTGTATGCATTTCTCATGGCTAGGATTTTCCTCACCTTCTGCTAAGTGAAGGGAGGCAGCACACTGCAACCAGGCACCATTCTTGCTATGGGGAAGGTCTGGCTGGGTCAAACTCTATTTGCTGAACAGTGTTGATATATTCATCATTACTAAATATATCTGTTCAAATTGTTTGACGCTCATCCAGAGGGTCTGGATGAGGTATCAGACCCTTCCAGAAGGTATTAAAATCCATATCCATCTTCTAAGCAGCCACATGTACATGTGGCTATGTCGGTTACAATTTATACAGAGGTAAGTCAAATCTCATAAACTCATCTAAAGTCATGAATAGAGAGGTACTGCAGCTGGACTGTTTTTGAGGAACAGTCTGAAATACAAAAGCAATGTTAAAACTAAGGGAAGGAAAAGTGGAAGGTGATTTAGAGACAAGCAGCCCTATTTGCCTAATTTTATATTATCTCATTTGTTGTACTTCCAAGTAATTTGTTGAATTTTTATCATCATTTTTACTATGATGTTTAATATTCAGTTGAAATTTGTGTCGGTACAGGGTCTTACAAGTGTGGAAAAATTTCCCACCCTTCTAATATTTGTAATTTTTGTAATCTTCAGTTTTTATTTTACTTTACATAAGGAAGTTCAATTTATGTGTGAACTAAGGACTAAAAACATTTTAAGACATTATACATTGAGCTACTTTAAAATAGTTGAATAAGAAGATTGCTTATATTTCTGTAGGAAGAATACAAGAAAAATACATTGTTTCTTGCACTTTTTCAAAAAGTAATTGTCTTCATTTTTTTTAGAATGCTAAGAAAAACAAGTATTGCTTGCACCTCTTAAAATTCATCTTATTGTCATTGCTTCTCCTAAAAATAAACCAAATTAACAGAAATGAACTGATTTTGAGTTCCTGAAGGTATTAACGCTTAGAGTGTGCAAGCTCACATAATGTCACTTTAATCTTTTAAAATGTCATCTCCTTTGACTTTTTTTAGCTAGCTTTTATAGAATGTTCTGATAAAGAATAAATATATCAACAGTTTAATTCCTTTACTCCTAAAGGCTTTGGAGCGAGTTGCAGTTGGCCAAATGGTAAGTAAAGTTGTTTATTTTAACCCTTCAAGATAAAATCTTTTTTTTTATTTTTTCAATGGTAGTAACCCATGACCTTCTATTTAACTGGAGAAATTCTAGAATTTAAAGCAGTATTATAGGGTACATCAAATGTAATCATGTAATTGAACAATCTTAGTGTGAGTGATCTGCTTCTATTTATTCAAATGATCTTTATGTTCTACATTTTACATAGTAGCATATGGACCCCGTGCTTTTCTTCATTTCCCTCTGCCAGTCTTTTACCTTTGAATGTCTGCTTTCAAGTTTGCTTGTTTCTTCTTTCTTCACAGTTATGGTTGCGTTATAATCTGATCAAAAATGTAATTCTCCTCTTCTTAAGGCTGGTTAGCTCTAACTGGTTAGAGAGAATAGAGAGAATTAGTTAAGAAAGCCAATTCTTAACTTCATTCTGTTTTTGTTATTGTGGTTTTAATTTCATTGACAACTTGAAAACCTTTTTGTTGTATCTTTCTTTTCTTGGTAGCTGCCTACAGAATCATTGTTTTATCGAGCTGTTCTTCAGGTTATTATAGAGGAAAATTACGGTGTCACCAAAAGGTAGGAAGCTGTGAATTAACAGGTACTAACCTAATCTGCTTCTTTGTCATCTCTACTCTGAAAAAAATTACTTCTTACAAAAAGAGGGTGTCAAAATCAGTGTTATTAGCTATGCAGTTCAATAACATATGGTCATTGAAGTGCAGTATGCTTTGTTCACAGAATCACACAGACTCACAGAATGGTTAAGGTTGGAAAGGACCTCTAGAGATCATCCAGTCCAACCCCCCTGCTCCAGCAGGGACACCCAGAGCACGGGGCACAGGGCGGCATCCAGCCGGGTTTGGAAGATCTCCAGAGAAGGAGAGTCCACAGCCTCCCTGGGCAGCCTGTGCCAGGGCTCTGTCACCCTCACAGTGAAGAAGTTCCTCCTCACCTGGAGATGGAACTTCCTGTGTTGCAGCTTGCACCCATTACCCCTTGTCCTGCCACTGTCCACCACTGAATTCTGAATCCACGTGACAAATCTTTTTTCCTTCCTCTACGCAAGAATTGAAATAGGTCTTCATTGGTACTGGATGCATGGAGAAAATATATGTTCCCCAGAAAACCAATAGCACAGTCACTAAGTGTGTGCAGTCCCTAGGTTACTCAGTATGCAGAAGTCTGGGCAGGTTTTAAAAGCACAGAAGGCAAGAAGGGCTACGTGCTGCATGTGTCCGTGTTAGGAACTCCTATGTCCTGGCGGGAATTTGAGGAGTGAAACAGTTAGTGCTGAGGACATCCTGACAACCATACCATACTCTTCTGGAGGATTAGTTTGGTCAAAGGTCGAACTCCTGAGGGAAGAAATACTTCTTTTGTTTATTTGAAAATTGCATAGAAGATATAACATATGAAACCACCATTGATAAGTTGTATAAAACTTGAGACAGATGATAATGTGTTTTGTTTGCTAAAGGAAGTCTAATTTGGAAGAAGTGATTAAGCTGATACATTGGAATTAAAGCAGTGCAGGCTGAATTTTAAGCCCTCTAACATGAGCTGTCGCCAGTTACAGCTGAACAGCAGGAGCAGCTGGTTGCAGTTGAGCCGCTCGATTGTCCTGAAGCTTTGTGAGGTTGTTTTGCGCTTTTTAGGATGTCAAGAACCTGACTAACACATTAAAAACAGGTTAAACAATTAAGAGAATGAACTGTGAGAGTTTCAATCTTTAAGTATCCGTGCTGTTTTTTGAACTACTTGTACACAACATAAACCTGGTAAATCTAGTAAATGTATTTTATAGCTTTGATCCTGTTCCTTCTGATTTGCAGGGCAGGTGCCTATCTTCCAAAGAAGATTTTAACTGCATATATTTTGTTGGTTTTCAGTCTGCATCAGCTCAGATATTTGAAGTATTGAGACATTCAATCTGACTATGGAAAATCTTTTTTTCTTGAAAAATAAGTGTGACTGATAATTCCCAGGAGGCAGGGATCTCTAGCAGGCCAAGAGCATTAGAACTGCAACTGAGGGAATTCTGTGTGTTGACCACAGTGTATGAAAATTTTGATCTTTAAATAAGTGGAAAGGGCTTTTGTTATGAATAAAGAGAGGAAAATTTTAAAGGAAGATCTTGCTATCTAGTATTTTAAGGGAAAAATATCTTTCTTCTTAAGTAGTTGGACTGCATACATGATTGTATTAAAAGTAGTGAATTATCTAAGTATTGTGGAATTTGTATAAATGTATGTATCTCTATGTTATATTTACAGTGATCAACATGTTGGAAAAATTTTCTCCAAGTCATCCTCCTTTGTAGACTATGTAAGAAAATCTTTGAAAAAATTGGACTTAGATGATGCAAAGGTGAGTCAGTAAATAGAGAGTGCATGGGAATTCTTACATCCATGTAAATTTTTAATACTATGGTATTTATTGCCAGCACCGTAGTGCCGCTATATATGTCTGAAGCATTGCATTGTTTTAGTTTGTATATTGCTGTATAAATATAAATAGAAATAGAAAAAAATGCATATTATATTTTTAGGTATTAAACATTATCAAAACAGGATTGTTTCAATTGGTAGGAAATTGACTTCCACTTACAACATCTTTAAAAGATACTGTTTTAAATTTACAGCATTCTAATGACTTTGTATCATATCAATCTGTTTTTATGTATCATGTTCATGATTAGAAGTTTTGAAAGACTTTCCCTTATCTGTGAAACTAGTCCTACAAATCTCCTTTCAGGAAAAACAAAATCACTAGGTACTCAGTTTTATGCATGCAGTCATTCAGAGTTGAGTACAGCATTTTTTTAAATGCAGAGTCAAATGTGCATGAAATTCCTTGCCTGTGCTGATACAATACAACTTGATAAAAGTAACTTTTGCATCTTTTTAAGGCCAGCCAAAATGCCGCCCAATACAAACATGTTTTTATATGTAAGCTTAAGGAATTCTCAAAAAGATGAATAATTAATCACTTAGTAAAAGCTTTGAGCCTTTTTTCTTTTCTATCCTTTTTTTTTATCTTTTCCTTTTGATTTTTTTCTTTTTCTGCATCAATACTTTCTTTATCACTTGTTTGGAGGTCTTCTCAAATTTGATAAAAATAACAGTATAGTGAGATAGACAATTCCATCTATGCCACATGTTTCCCTTACAATTTTGTTCCAAAGCTATTTGCTTTGTATTTTAAGTTTTAGATGGTCTGCTTAAGTAGTTTTTTAAGATCTTAAGTTTCTGCCTCTACCAACGAGGAAGTTTATACTGTTTACTTTCAATTAAAAAGTGTTAAGTACAAGTACTAGTATTTTAAAATAATTTCCTATATAAATAAAATGTTAATACCAATCTGACATTTAAACTAAAAAATTCTTTCAAAGATTTTTTTCTGGGTGTCTCGAGTACTGTAGTGTTTTAGAGTACAACTGTTAAGTTGGTCAACAGATGGCAACATAACATTAGGCATGGGATATGACTGTGTGAGTCTCACAAACACAACAGCTCCATGAGAGTATGTGGTGAAATGGAGATGCTGTAGAATATTATTTACAGTATTAAAAAGCTTAGTACAAATGACACCAGAAGTAGGATTGACCAGTATATTAAATATTTGAGTATTGTAGTGTTTGGTAAAGCAGAAAGTCTGAAGTTGAAATGTCAAATCATCAAAAATGTGCTAATCACATAAAAGCATGAATTAGAAAAAATGTAAAGCAAATAAATAACTGAATAAATGCAAATGATGTTTGGGTTCTTGCTGCATGCAGAAAAAAAAAAGTCTTAGGTATCTGGATTTTCAATCTTTGTTTTTAAGAGATTACATGTAATATTATTTGCAAACTACGTTATCTGTTTACTTTTCTGTGTAGATGGGGACTAACATCGTGCAGTTGCCCCAAAAGAAAGTGGCTGCTGGAATCGTATTGGCCTAATTTTTGTATGATCATCAAAAAAACAATAGGGATTTGTTTGTACGGTGATCAGTTCACTAAATTACTGATAAGACTCTGTTGCTGGGACTTCCAGACATTGTGCATTCTTTTCTTCAAAGCTAGGGAGCACAGCAACTCGGTGTCAATATGTCTGATTTTAAAAGTGTTGACTTTTGCCAGAAACGGCCTGGACAACTGCAAATTGCCCTAAGGAAAACATGTCTGTCAACACTGGCTCAAGCTGCACATGCTTGTGGTGGAAGCTAAAGATCCGATTCAAGTTTATGCTCATTTATTTGCTTCAATTTCTACTCATCTTCATGTACAGCTGGTTACATACTGAAGACTGGAGTTTATGCTGATCTATGCAAGCTTATTTTTCATTTCCTAGCTCTATTCAAATTTTCAGCAGTGTGAGAACAGTGGTGTTTTCATAACTAGTTTGGGAAGAGTTGTTACTGCTCTTTCCACAGTGCTTTTGACATTGCATTTTTCACGGTGGAGTCAGCACAACTTCTACACAATATTGGGGAATGTTGAATTCCTTTATTCAGGGGGAAAAGGAAAAACAAGAACACTTGCATAGCTAAAAATGTGGCAAAGCTTAAACAGTTGCTCTAAAAGACAACAAAAATCAGAGAGACATTTATGTGGGATTTGTTTTCTAGTTGCTTTTAAAAATGAACAAAAGAGCAGCTGCTCTGCGTAGACTAAATGTCTGCTCCAACAGTATCCAGAAGTGGGTGGCTAGAGGAACTAGAGAGGGAGCATATGTGAATGATACAGAATAACCAAGAAACGTGTCTGTCTTTCAGAAAAATAAGGAGGTACCCCTTGTCTTCATGCATAAAATCATTAAAAAAAAAACACAAATAAATCTTAGTATAATTATTCTGTTAATAGTTTCCCAAATATGGAGATAAAATAGCAGCTACAGAAAACAGAAAATTAGGGAAAGCAAGAGACACAGTGTAGTACACAGAGGAACTCATATAAGTCTTTGCTTTACAAATAAAAAATTCTCATATTAAAAAGAAATCAGATGGCAGAAAACTTAATATAAAACATTAATGCAAGTCTTCAGCTATGCTTATCAGAAAATTGAAAGTGGGTTTAATGTCTGCATGGTAATAAATGTATTGCAAAGTGAAGGGATAATGACAGTAAGTTTTTAGGAGCGCAAGCAGCATGTCTCTGCTGCCAGTATGTGGCAGCCTGACCTATCTGTTATAGTCATGGATGGTTTTGATCACTGCATCTAAACTGTGGGACATAAACTGCCTCCCAAACCCCTCATGCACAGTGAGTCCAACAGCTAGCTCCTCACAGCCTGTCAGTGTCTGTTCCTGAGCAAGGGGGAGCCAGGGCGCAATCCAAGAGTTTTCTAGTCAGGACAAGTGAGGAGGCAGGATGAAGAGTGAAACTGCATGAAGCACCTGACCTGCATTGATGCCAGTGTTTGTAAATCTATGTCTTTTGCAAAAGAGGAAACTGGTGAAGAATTCTGATGAGTTTTAAATATCCCCCAAAGTAAGTTTATTTGTTCTGTAGTTTTCAATAAAGATAGATTGGTTAGTCCTGACAGTTTTTCATAGGAAAGAAGAAGAGTGGCTTGTTCCTATGTGAGACCAGCATGAAGAATGGAGCCTCTTTGCTTTTTTGAAGCGAGAACTAGGCCCATGGTGAAAAGATTGTCAAGCAGGAGTAAGTTAGAATGAGGCAGAATAGCTTTTTCTACCAAGAAAAAATATTTATCAATCACCCAAGCTATTCATTGTTGCACATTAATGTTCAAGGATTGAAGTTTCTCATTATTTTAGCCAAAATAACTTCCTCTGTTGTGTTTCTTTTCAATATGGAAGAGCCTGTCAACTGCGGATTAAGCAGTGAGGTGGTTTTTCTTCTGCCTTTTTAATTGATAGCCGTTCTTTCCATAGATTCCTCCACCTCAGTAGTAAAAGTGATCCATACACCATAACTACTGATGGAAAACAGTCTCATTTTAGGAGAGTAGAGGGGGCTTCTTTAGTTTGGGCTTGATGCTTCCTCGGCATGTTTATCCTGCTCCTAGCTTCAGAACAAGTGGAGTTGCCATGCGGGCCGTGGGTGCCGGCACAGGGCTTCGGAACTCGTGTGGATAGAGCCTGAGGCAGTGCTGTGTCCGGGTTGTTCACTTTGTCAAAGCTGCTCGTCCTGTTCTTTTAAAGTCCATCTTGCACGGGTGAAGCTTTCTGTGCCGCTTAGATATGGGACAGGTTGTTTCTGTTGGGTTTCTTTTCACTGTCATTCACTCTTTGACCTGCTGAAATGATCTGCTGCCTCAACACCTATGTGAGATGCTCACCTTGAGAGAAGGAAGTGCTTATTACTGTTCTTTCTCCAGGTGTTGTCCCTTCTGACACTTTTAACCTGGCATCTTTGAAACGGACCATGTTCCTTCCTCTTTCTGCAGCCCTTCAGCAGAGAGTATCTCCGCTCTGGTTACTGTTTCTTGCAGAGCAATTTCAAAGGAAGCCTTTTTTAATAGTACATTAGCTGCTGATTAAGACAGGCAGTGCTGCAAGTGGTATTGCTGTGATAAAGTTTGCCACAGCAAAATGTTTAAAATCCTTGTCTGAAGTAGTTTATACAAACTTGTAATGCATTTTTTAAGAAAAAGAGTCTTTCATTAAATGGAAAATGTAGATGTAAAATTTTATATCCTGTATTCAATGAGATAAATCAGAATCGTAAAGTTCTTCTATAGGGTCTGCCTCTAAGGTGAGTTAAGGAGGAAGGGACTGGCAAAGTGAAGGCGTAGGTGTGTGGCTGACAGGCTTGCTTGGGATACACAGATCTCGTGAGGTGACGTTTCTTTTAATAAGTGGGATCTTTGGCAGGTGGAGCCTGCTAACAAACAGATGCTGCCCGGGCTTCATTTAAAGTACAGTCTGGAAATAAGGATAGAGTGCTGTTTAATGCTACATCTGACTGCAAGATATACGGGGTTGGAGACACTTGTGATATCTGCGAAGAAAAGCTATTAGTCACTTTGATTTCATCTCCTGCTACACTCACATTATAGTTACCTTGATGGTTAATGACATAGAGGCTCATTAGTCAAACTGCTTCACAAATCACCTATCCTCTTCAGATGTAGATATATGCTGGGAAGATACAACCGCAGTTTCAAAGATGGTGTCACCTTAAGCTTTCACTTAGAGTTAGAAGTCTACGTGCCAGACAGTGAGTGCATCTTTGCAGATTTATTTGGTTTTGGTTAACTCAGCTTCTCTACAAGTCTCCTGTGAACATTGTTTTTCATTTCTAGGAGTCAAGTGTTTCCACAAAACCTGAAAGGGCTGGAGTCTTGCCACTGAAAAAAAAAAAAAAAAAGTCATTTATTTGGCTGGTGCCCTGTGTGACAACCCAAGATAAGATCTGCAACAATAAACAGATGGTCATTGCTGAGTTTCCACAATCCCTCTTTCCTCTAACCTTGACCACACTTCTTAAAAACAGCTGTTGCCCACTTCTTTTCTTCTGATCCCATGCTTTAGGTGGAGCATCCCACACAGATTTACAGCCACGAGGTCTAATCCGGAGGCTCAGGAAAGGGCAGTAGGCATTTCCCGGAGATGCACCTATCGCAACAGCACTTAAATTAATAGCACATTAAGGGGCATATATAGAAAACTGATGTCCTGCAGCTAGCTCATGTATCATCTTGAGTAATTTAAACAGCTTTAGTATCTGATATATTACATCAAGCAATATTAGTCCAGATAGTATTCTGAAGCCTTGATTTAGCTCCTAGGCTGCATTTATTTATTCTACATATTTTGCAAAGGTTATGTATTCCTAAGGATATTCAGTTAAACAAATGTGTTGTTACTTTTTTCTCTACAATAATCAGATGGTGTTTATTTTTATACATGTGGTGTTTATTTTTATACATGTGATTTATAATTACATGTACATTTTGACTTATATTTTTACAAGAATTTCTGTAAACATTCATAAATATGCTAACTCTTAAATAGTAAAACTGTTAAATAATACTGAAATCAGAATTTGTGTAAAATACACCTGCTTATGTTTATCAGGCGCAATTTTGTAATTTTTTTCTGATGTCTTTGGGACAATTTCAGTATAGCTAGTGTGCATATCTGATACATTTCACATTCAGTAGTGACTTTCTTTAAAGCAGTGATTCTTTTTAAGAAAACTTATAAAAGAGTATATGTGACTTCATTTTGATGAAGCAAAACCGTAATAGTAACAAGTGCTATTATTATTAACTAAATAAATCAATTACATTTTTATAAAATAGCAATAAAACAGTTCTATTGATTTTGTAAAATAAAAGATATTTTAAAAGAATAAGTGTTTTTGCACTTGGGGAATAAATGTGTATAGATATTCCAATTTTCTTATTATTTATAACAATTTTAGAAGTACAATTTTAATATATACATTTCCTTTTAATAATTATTCAGATGGCAGACTGAATATGAATTGAAGAAATAACATTTCATATTTTAAGATAAGCCATGTATTCGTGTTAGCTAAATCTATATTTAATATATTGGGCTCCATCCTGAATAAATTTTCAGCAGACATAGCTTATGCTGCTTGCATTTTTTATATGACAATAGTGCTCTTTTTGAAATTAATACAAAAGTAGTTCCAATTTGCTGTGTTCAGATTCCTGTAGTATTAGATGGAAACACTTAAACACCGCACTGCCAAAGATGAAAACATGAGACTTGAGAGACTCCTGAGAGAACTGGATGTCCTGATCGCATTACTGCTCTGCAAAAAGGCCATGCTGACACTGTATCCTGCAGTTGTATCTCACTGTGAGTGGCTAGGAAAGTGCTTGAAACTCCACATGAGCGTTCTTGGGATTCATCTACAAGATCGTGTTTTCCCCCTTTGCATAATAAAAAAGGGGGGAGTGTTTCTGACAAGGCTTTGAGAATGTTGTGGTCTCCCCGAGGAGAGGCTCCATCCCTCCGTGGTGGCTCGGTCCATGCTTGCACCATGAGCTCATTCTCTACCATGGTCTCATGATGCCTGTGGAGGTGAGTGGTCCTTGGGGGGCTTCCTTACCTGCCACGGCCACAGTGTGTGCTACCCACCCAGCCATCGCTTGCAGTTTGTCACGTATCTTTCATAGGTTAGTCTCACAGCAGCTGCAGCTCTCTGGGTATGAAGATGGACAGGGAAGATGAGCTGACCTCCTGTAGGTTTCTGGTATGGATATGCATTTAATAAAGAAATTAACCCAGATGTTGTAATGATTCCTGTAAGGCATTTGGGCCCAGTGCTTGGATATGGCGGCATTCAGGAGACATCTGTGGACCCTGCTTTTTATTTGTCAGACATTTCACAGTTTCTTTTGTTTTGATTGAATGCCTTGTGTGGAAAAAGGGAGAACACAAAGGATGCAAAAGCAGAATGGTTTTATGCTCATAATTGCACAGATACAGATCTTTATAATTCCAAATAAGCTGTAATATCAAAACTCCATTGTACTAAAACCCTTTTAATTCTCAGTAGAGATGGAGAGCTCATCAGGCAGGGATCAAATCAATTTTTCTTTTTGTCTCCTGATTAATGTATTTTAATTGGTTTGACTTTTTAGAGAGGGGGAAAAAAAAAAAAAAAAAAAAAAAAGACGTTCTCAGATATTTGCACAGCTTTAATGAAAATAAAATGGCAAAAGGACCAAATGTGCCATGTCAACACATTAGTGCAACCAGATAGATCACTTACATAATTCTCCATAGCGGAAAGTAGTTTCTGGATTAAAAAAAAATATATATGGCTCACAGACCATAGGTTCTAACCCCTCCTCTTTTTTTAAGGAAGAATTAGAATTTTAGATAGTTCCTGAAAAATATTTGTGTTCTTAAAGCTTCCTCTGATGAAGACCTCCAGTCCTTAATTAACCTCACAAAAATTTCTTGACATTTGTGACTGATATTTTATTTTTCTATCTATGTCACAAGCCTATTAGTTTTTAACCTATCCACTGTGGATGTGGAGAGTAAACTGTTCCCACTCTGTTTTCTCTTGTTTAGCCTAATGAGTTCCAGTTCTCTCAATCTTTCGTCATAGGTTGTGTTTTCTAGATGTCTGACCATTCTCTTTACTCTCTCAAGGCTCTTTCAGATAGTTTATATCTTTCTTTGAAATCTGATGCCCCAAATACCATAATCCAGCTAGAGCTTTACTACTGCCAAGCAGAGTTGAAGGATTACTTCCTGTGCTCTGCAGGCCCTTCTCCTGTGCGTGTTGCAGGGTGATGGTCTTTTTCCTTTTGCATTAGCACAACTTTGTCTCTCACTCGGCTTGTGGTCCATTATAACACCCAGAATCGCCATTTGCTCTTCCTCATCCTGAGCAGTAGGTTGTTTCTGTGGAAGTGTTGTCCCCCTTGCTTTTTCCTAGAGCATTTCAGTGTCTTTTTCCTAAGTGATTCTCCAATTTCAGAATTGCATATTTGTAGTCTTAGTGTGATTTCTATTACCTAAATTCTTAAAGAAAACATTGACTTAACATAAACTCCACACAATATATCTTTTCAGTTACTTAAGGACTCGTTATAAATTATCTTTAGTTATAATTATTATAACCAAATATAATATAAAAACATGTAATATAAAACAGGTTTTACTTCATGATACTTTAACCTGGACCTTGTTTCCTAAAATTCGTGTATTAAATTGTTATGTGAAATTGTGTTAAAAATTGTACTGAAGTCAAAACAGAGGACAGTGTTTTGGTTTTCCCTGTCATTTCCCATTTTTTCCTTCTTAAAACAACTAGCTTGACTTGGTGTGATTTGTTCTTGACAGAGTCTTGTTGACTATTACTCATCTGCCTACCATTCAGTGTTTTTAAATTCCTTGAGTAATTGTTCTATTCTTGTTTTCCATGCATATAATTTGAACTTCATGGTCTGTAATGAACCAGCTCATTCTCATTGCATTTGTGAAGTTAGGCAGGTACCTGCTCATCCTGTTCTGCCTTTCAGAAGTTCCTAGTGACAGTTAGTAATAGCCCAGACCAAATTTTCTTCTTGGCTATAAGACCTATCCAATCCGAAGACATAAAATTGATGCAAGTATTCTGTAGTCTGACCCTAATCTTAGACTTTGGTTTTATGATGGAATTAGGCACCTGCTCACAGATGACCTTTCTAACATGTGCAAGAAATGTGTTAAAACACTTCAGCTTTCCCAGCGTTTTGGCAGTTAACGTTATTTTCTTGCTGAGTTGTAGACCAGCTCTCTCCACAGTCACCATGGAGGAAACACAGTTGAAATGCCAAATTCTGAGAAAAGTGAATCAAGGTCTGTCAATTCTTCCACTCCTTTATAGGCACCTTTGGTGGCTTCCTGAACACTCCTCTTCAGCATCCAGAATAGTAGACTGGAATACAGGAAAAGCACTCCTGTACAGAAAAGTACAGGAAAACGTAGCCCTGCTGCCCTATAGAGGACGTGAACAGCCCCAATACTCCTAATCCTGGCTGCTTGCTGTGGCACAGGAGCCTCTGTGGCTGAAAGGGGAAGATGCATTTGTGTTTTTCACATTCTTGAACTGCCTTCACATCAAATTCGACCCCAAATCACTGTGTTTGCAGTTACAGGGATGTTGTTGAAAGTTGCATCAGATAATTTGGAAAAGAAGGGAGGAAAATGTAGCGGTGCAAGGGCACTAGGGAAGGTTTTCTCTCAAAGGTGGGTAATTTGAGGCAGAGACATTTAGTACTATTTCCAGAATCCCACTGCAGGTTTCGCAATGTGAAATAGCATCCAGGAGTCCTGACTTGAGTGTGTTACTCTAGGCACGAGACTCCACTCCTCAGCAACAGAGAAGAATCTCTTGGGCTTTGGGAATGGGGTGGCAGGTTGAGATAAACGGGAAAGGAAATGAGAAGGTCATCTCCACTTCAGGGTGTAATGCTCATTTAAGAATGGTTAGTGCTTTTTGAAAAGTGAATATCTTTCAATATTTAATGTCGGTAAAATGCTGTCTGAAGAACAGGTATTGTAAGTGAAAACTGAAAGAAAAGGTTACAGGAAAATTATTATAAACTTGGGGAAGTGCTAATTTCAAAAACAGCACAAAGATTTCATTTGTGTGACTTTCAGTTATTAAAATATATATTTTTTTAAATTGCCCTGAAAAATACCTGGAACAATTCTGATATCTTTTTGTTTTTATCCCTTGCAGCTCTCAGACAACTGTATAATGGATTACTATGAAAAATACAAGGACCGAATGAATGAGCTCGAAGCATTTAATATGGTAAAAATCATGGGATTAATACCATTACCTTGTACATATGTGCTAGCCTAGAACAAAGCCCCATGAACTTTTATGTGGAGGTGGACTGTCTTACACTATGGTATGCAATCTCAAAAACAAAGCTGCTCCCCCTGCTCCAACTTTGGAGCATATCCTATTCCAAAACTATATTAGGTGTTGGTAAAATAATAAAGAGAACACATGGAAGATTCTTTTGCAAGAGGGACTATTACTCTGAAAAATGAAATGTTAGTCTCCTTTTAAATCTAGACTGGTCTCCATGCAGTTATTTCATGAAAGTTCTTTTTATTAAAATTCATTATTTCCCTCTTTAAAATTGTTCTGCTTCATATACTATCATTTTCTTGTTGGATAGTGCCTCAAAGCCAACTAAATAACATAGTTTCCTGGTTTTATGACATTCTGTGTAGTTTTGATCTTTAATATAATCTGTTTTGAAGATGTCCATCCCACAGGGAAAATTGGCAAGGTGACATTTGTACAACAAATCCACTAGAATATGATTGACCTTCCTGGAATTGTTTTGGGGAAATGTTGCCATTTGGAAGTCTGTTGGCTCCCTTTCCTATAACCATAATAGTGTCTAATCTTTCAGTTGAAGGTAGTTCTGGCGCCCTGCATAGAAGTTTTGATTCTTCTGGATCGTCTTTGCTACCTCAAGGAGCAGGTATTTTTGCATTATATTTTATGACACCTAAAGGCTACATCGGTGAAATGAGGCTGTTCCAGCCAATTTATTACTGTGCAGGCCAGAAATCTCTGCTGCAGAATTATTATTCTCATCATATTTGCAAAAGTTTAAGTATTTATTCATTTTTAGTATAAACATATGCCTAGCAGATGTTTTCATTTTCAGTGTAGCAGCAACAATAAAGTTTGTGTTCTTTTAATTGTACAGTAATTACTAGTCAATAGTAAAAAAAGTAAATATGCAACAAATTTTAATTTATACAACATGTTGAGAGGTATAATAATTAAAAGGAATAATGGAAGGTCTGAACAAACACTGATGTGCATGCTAGAGCTTCCTAAGAATATGCTTTAGAGCACGTACTTCTAGAAATGTTGAATTAGGTCCAAAATGCTCATGAATTCTTTTTATTGTTTCTTAAAATTAAGATCTGTGATGAGAGAGGGTGCACTTTCTGCAACTGTTTGGGTCAACTGAGGTACATTTGACTAACATACAGCCTAGATATATTATACAAGTAGAGACCTGGGATATAATAAGCAAGTGCTACTACCTTTACTCTGCAGTGATTTATATATTACAGTGTCCTACCAACACTAATTTTGAGCTTGGTGGGATTAACTCAGAAGCAACAATGATAACTTCTCTGCACCAGCAAATATTTTTGACAAGTTATAATTTGTTCGGAGGAAATGGTAGTATCTGGTAGCTTCTGCTCAGGGCCATGCTCAAAATAAAATTTTAAAATAAATTTTAAACACGTTCAGGTGAACGACTCTGTTTTTTCCACTATAAACCTTTAAATTTAACATCTCCATTTTATCATAAGTAAAAATTCACTTTATTTTCTGGCATAGTGCACTTGGAACAAATGAGTTGTAGTAAATGTAAGCTTTTTTTTCTAGCTAGTATTTTTGCAGAAAGGCAATCTGAAATATGTAAATAGTGGTGTATTTTTCCAAATGCCAACCTGCTACAAATCACATAGAGATCTGTATAATTTCAAAGACAGAAGATCAGGCTTGCTGCACTTAGCACTAATGTACGTTTTCTAAATGTAATGCACCCATAGATTTAATCTTGTACTGTTTGATTCACAAAATATGTTTAGGAAGAAAAATAGAAATGATAAAAGCCATATGCAACTTGAAGACCAAATGCAGGTGGCCTTGTTCATTTGAAAAGTCAGTTAATTAGCTTCAGTAGTTGTTTGTGCTGCATAAAGTGAGTAAGACTTGATCCTTAATTCATTTCCTTCTACTTCACTGGAAAAAGAAAAGCTTCATTGATGATAGAGGTGGTAAACTGTCACTGGAGAGTACCAAAATTAATTTAATGATTTTAAAATACATAGTGCCTTGGGGGTTGTTTGTTCACAACAAGCTTTCGATAATTTTGTTATTCTGTGTTTTTCCTCCTTTGAATCAAGGATAATATATTTGTTTCACGATTTCGTATTTGAAAATGTGGGCATACTAACATATCCTAACTTGTAAGTCAAATATATTTTTATGTTCATGAATCATATATCATTTTACAGGACAACATTGCTTGGTCTGGACTTGTGAAGTTATTTGATCCTGTGAAATCTCCCAGATGCTATGGAGTTATTGCTCTGAAGAAACAGTCATGTTCTGAGGTGGAAACACAACTACAGATAGGTTGAAATCTCTGTACTGATACTGCCATTTCGTCACTTTTTTCCCATTTTTTGTAAGTGATTCCTCAAGTATGCTGATGCATTTGGTAACTGTTCAGTTTATATCTGCAAAAGTAAAAATCACAGTGCCTCTGTAAATCAAGAGAAATAAATAGTGGTGTGTAGTTTTTTTATAAATACCATTGTCTCCTTATGTCAGTTATTAAATAAAAGGTCTGATTTTTATCATAAAAGTTATGGCCCATATTATGTGACTAATGTTTTAAAATAGCTTAAATGTTTCTTCTTGTTACTGCATCTTACTTCTGTGTTCACGCCCCTTCTCTTGGTGATTTCTTCTTTTACTTGCAAGATGACTCTTCCGAACTGTAAACCTTCTCAGCCCTCGCCATCGGTTGGCATCAGCCGTTGCACTGACCTTGCCTTTGCTCCACTGTTTGCTGGATTCGGATTGTGCATGCCTTATAAAGAATATTAACCTGTGCTGCAGGCAGGAGGTGGTTAAACCAAATGAAATCTTCGTACTTCCCTGTTCACATCATCAGGACCAGCTCCTTTATGTAGGAACTAGAAAATCCTAGAACTTGCCTAACACCAGATAGTGAATATCCCCAAGAAGTGGTTTTGCATTAACCGCTTTGTCTTTCAGGCTTATTTCTGGTGTACTTGGTCACTGGTCATACTGAAAAAATCTGCTGGGTGTGATCCAGTTGACTGGGAAGCTCTCCAGTGTTTGAGAGTCAGCTGCCCTGCTGGGTTTCATGCTGCAACCCGTCGGTTATAGCAGGAGACTGTGATCTGGCCCAAATGTGTTGGGTATAAATATTTGAGTGCCCGAGTGAGTTGTAACTCCCTCCCTAGTTTCTCCTTGGCAGAAGTGAATTCAGGAATGGGAAACTTCTTTGTTGCTGCCTTTACTTCAGTGGGTTGCCTTCTTTAAATTTGCAGATGTGGCATCGGTGTTAGAGAAATTCCAGTTTGCAGAGCTTTTATTGGAATTTCCAGTGCATGTAAAGCATAATTAGCTTCCAGTGCACAGAAGAAAAGGACAACAAATAATAAAATACAGCATTAAAGAAGGAAAAGGCAGAATGGGACTTTGGTGGGCAGGAGATGAGACTAACCTGTTAATATTATTTGTGTGGTGTAACTGAAGAGATGATCATGGAGTTCAGACTGAGATTCATATCTTGAGTGTAAACCAAGTTTATTCCATTTAGGTCTGCAAAATACAGTGAGAGTTTGTGAACAGGGCTAGTCAAAAAAAGAAAGCAAGGTACCTTATTAACAAGATACATCTTTCTTGAAGGATTATTTCTTTTTTTGGTAGTGTACGTTCCCCGTCCTCCATTTCATTCCTTGTTGGACGTATGGATCCGGCGTGAACCTTGCACATTTGTTCAGTCCCGGTAGGTTCAATCTGCAGAGCTCCTGGACACGTGCCCTGCCAAGCAGTGCCCGGCTGAGTGTAACACAGTCCAGATTGCAGTGCACGTGGAATATACCTAGCTCATATGGTGCAACATTTTCATGTGGTTACATGAATGTAATCTAAATTCCAAGTTATTACTACTTTAAGAGGTCAGCTTAAAATAACAAGCACATCTCTAGGGGTAGCCCAGGTGCTTTTGCAGTGATTCGGAGAGGTCTGAGCATGTGGGGATGCCCCCGCTCCGCAGGCCCTGGTGGCGCCGTGCACTCCGTAGGCTGCGCAGGCAGCATGGAGAATGGAGCCACCAGCTCTCCGCTCTCAAGGCTCTTTTGAAGCTTTAGACATCCGAGTTCCTGTGAGGTGTTTTACCTAAGGGAAGAATCCTGGAGTGTGGTAAAGGTGAATCCAACCATTTTTCATCATGATTATTGCTAGAAATTCTTCCATAACATAAGCAGTATCCCAAATATGATCACATCCTTCAACAGTAAAGAATCCCTATTTCCCATGACTGTGGCAGCAAGCTATGTGCCCTTCTATATCCCTTAAGGAATACTGGATCTACCTGTTTTTCCACAGCCTGATGCTGTGTTTGTGGGACACTTACGATTCCTGTAGCAGACTTGGGGTGTTTTATTTATGCTTCTTAAGGCTGCAGCAGTATTTTTAGATGGACAGAAAGGAGAATGTGCTGTCTTAATATCTAAGAGTATATTGAAGCCCTACAAAAACCTGTTCCTGTGGCTATAAACTTCAATTCATTACAGTTTCTGAAACTGTAGTTTCAAGTTTGTTGTCATTACTTTAGCTTTTTTTATTACAAGTTATTTTCTCTGTTGTCATTATTCAGTAAATTACAATTGAAATGACTGGTGCTAAGATGTTTTCGCTGTGTCATGATATATATTTAGACTCAGGATCTGTATGTCCTATGATTGTCTAAAATCTGAACAGGGTAAACATGCTAAATATATCTGTGTTGGGGACAGCTGTATGTCTTCTTGTTTGCTGGAGTGCTCTTTTTTATCATTACTTACTGGTTCAGATCTACTTTATTCCTAAAAAAAAAGAAGCATTCATAAATGTCATTCATAAATGACATTTGTCATTTATTTTAGAGATCACTCATACTAAGGCAGGTGGTAAGAAAGGACGAGCACCAAGAAAGTCTTTCCTGCTTACGAGTGAAGTAGCAACTTCTTTGCCTCTGTCTTTACTGCTAAGACGACCCCCCATGAACTGCAGGGCACAAAGGGAAGAGATGTAAATGGGCTAGAAGAAGACCTTCCACGGGTTGAGAAGGATTGGGTTAGGGATCACCTAGGCAAATTGGACACTCAAAAATCTATGGGCCCAGATGGGATGCACCCAAGAGTGCTGAGGGAACTGGCCGAGGTTATTGCTCAGCCTCTCTCCATCATCTTTGAGAGGTCCTGGAGAGCAGGGGAGGTGCCCGAGGACT